AAGAACGTAGAACGGACGAGAAGAAGTTTCCGTCACTTTTAAATTGCCAAGGATTTATGCACACAAATAATACATTATCACGTACAACCACAAGGTTAAATTGCACCCTTAAGCATTAGTCTAAAGTAATAGATTAATGAGAATATGTAGATTGTATCGCCGCGTTAAAAGAGTTACAAGTGACATTTAATTTCAAACTAACCACTAATGAATACTCACGAAACATACTTCTAAGCACGTCATTTATTTATTTGCTCAACAGTATTCCTACAGCTACTCACTAAACAATATCCAAACAATTACATTGTACACAAAAGCCAAAACCGGAATACACATTGAAAATGCATTCAAACATAAACAAAGCACAGTTTCACCTATATATACAAAAAATATAACAAAGTATGTATGTATTTATAATAAATTCTAAATTCTAAGGTTCATTGATCATTATAATATATATTTAATATAAAGCCATTATTAATAAAAGATACCAGAGTTTTTTAAATTATTTTTAAACATTTTTTAGTTACATTAAATATATCTATTTGCTGGTAATTTGTGTTATAATCTGAAGGTATACGATACATGACTGAGTTACGTAAATAGTTTGTATTAGACCGAGGAATTTTAAATAGTTGGGTTTGCCTTGTATTGTATGAAGAAGGGGTGTGAAATAATAAAAGCGACAATAAGTCAGGACAGTCAATTAAATCGTTGCAAATAGCCTGTAAAAACATAATACGACCTTATGTTTGTTTACGTCTGATAATTAACAAGTTATATATAATATACAAACATTAGAAAAAAGCGATTAAATAACTTAGAATTCGGTGACGGATCGTAGCGTTCACTAAGTCAGTAATCTAGTCAGGTAATATATACTTTTAACAGATGAACACCGGGCAAAAAAGTTTGAACGATTCCTCATTATTCAATTGTTTTTCAAAATATTTAAGTGTTTACATATTAATCCGCAATTACATTACAATACGTAAACTTTTAGTTTTTGTGTTTCTGTGTGTGTGTTTTTTGTTAGTAATAATCTGTTATGTCTATGTCTATATTTTAAGGCTTCTAAATGTTTGAATATGACATATGTGTCAGAAACTAAATGTTATATGTATAAAGAAAAAAAAATTATAAATGTTAATCTAATTAATAAAACAATTTGTTGTAGGTAATTGCAACGATTGTCAACTTTACCACACATGCAAAGCAGCATTTGATCATGCTCAGTTCAAGCAAGACGACGAAACAAGACAGCTATTTGAGAAAGCTTTGTGTGGAACAGAAACGGAAGATGGTGAAACCGTATTTAAGGTAATCCTTTAATTAATTTTCCATATTCGATGTGATAGGGTTAAAATCAGAGAGGAGTTGGTACAAAGCTGGACTCAATATGTCATAATCCAATACGATTTTTTGATATGGGAGCAACACTTAGCACGCAGTCTGGTCTCTATCTAAATCTGAGCGTTAGCGCTACTACTTTAGGCTTGTAATGTTTAGGCTGTTTAGGTTTATGATAAGATTCAGAAGGTAATTGTCAAGCCTCAGCGTGAACTATGACATGCGTAACGCGTATTTCAAAACCTAAAATCTTTTTCTAGTCTCGATTGTAACTTCTTTGTTCTTTGTCATAATTTTTGTATAGTCTCGTTGACAAAACATATTCTCCTGTCTATAGTGTAGGGTTACTAAAAGCTGTAACTTATTCTTATGAGTCTTTTAGGTATGCTGTTCAGACTTTCCCAGCTTAAATACAAGACCAAATCCAACTTCTCCGGTCTTCAAGAATTAGAAAGTAGATTTGCAGAATCGAATAAAGAAAACTTGTTGCCGGATAAATGCGGCAGCATTTTGGGAAATCGAATTTTTGGAGGCAGAACAGCTAAACTATACGAATTTCCATGGATGGTACTGATCGCTTATAAAACACGTAAGTAATATAGATGTTTTGAACTAACATTGTACAGATTTAAAAAATCGCTGTCCATTCCATCCAAAAAAACAATCCATATAACAATACAGCATATATAGGTAAAAGTGACGTAGTCGGAAATTTTCTCATAGGTAATGCCACACATAATCAGAAAAAAAAAAAAATTAATCATAAAAAAATGTACGCGCATGTAAGAGGTTTTTCATGTTTAAAAAAAAAAAAAAAAAAAAAAAAAAAAAAAAAAAAAAAAAAAAAAAAAAAAAAAAAAAAAAAAAAAAAAAAAAAAAAAAAAAAAAAAAAAAAAAAAAAAAAAAAAAGAAAAAAAAAAAAAAAAAAAAAAAAAGGAGGGGAGAAAAAAAAAAGAAAAAAAAGAAAAAAAAAAGGGGGGAAAAAAAAGAAAAAAAAAAAAAAAAAAGGAAAAAAAAAAAAAAAAAAAAAAAAAAAAAAAAAAAAAAAAAAAAAAAAAAAAAAGAAAAAAAAAAAAAAGAGAAAAAAAAAAAAAAAAGAAAAAAAAAAGGGGGGGGGGGGGGGGGGGGGGGGGGGGGGGGGGGGGGGGGGGGGGGGGGGGGGGGGGGGGGGGGGGGGGGGGGGGGGGGGGGGGGGGGGGGGGGGGGGGGGGGGCCGCGGGGGGGGGGGGGGCGGGGGGGGGGGGGGGGGGGGGGGGGGGGGGGGGGGGGGGGGGGGGGGGGGGGGGGGGGGGGGGGGGGGGGGGGGGGGGGGGGGGGGGGGGGGGGGGGGGGGGGGGGGGGGGGGGGGGGGGGGGGGGGGGGGGGCGGGGGCCCCCGCGGGGGGCGCGGGGGGGGGGGGGGCGGGGGCGGGGGGGGGGGGGGGGGGGGGGGGGGGGGGGGGGGGGGGGGGGGGGGGGGGGGGGGGGGGGGGGGGGGGGGGGGGGGGGGGGGGGGGGGGGGGGGGGGGGCGGGGGGCGCGGCCCCCCCCCCGCCCGCGCCCCGCCCCCGGGCCCGGGGCGCGGGGGGGGGGGGGGCCCGCCCCCGGGGGGGCCGCCCCCCCGGGGGGGGGGGGGGGGGGCGCGGGGGGGGGGGGGGGGGGGGGGGGGGGGGGGGGGGGGGGGGGGGGGGGGGGGCCCGGGGGGGGGGGGGGGGGGGGGCGCGGCCGCCGGGGGAGGCACCCCCCCACCCCACCAAAAAAGAAGAGAAGAGGAGGGGGGCAGGGGAGAACGCGCGGACACGCCGGACGCGGGGGGAAAAACAACCAGAAGGAGAAGAGGAGGGAGGGAAAGAAGGGGGGGAGAAAGAAGGGGGGGGAAGGAGGGAGGGCGGCGGGCGGCCCGGCGGGGGGGCGGGGCGGGCCGCGGGGGGGGGGGGGGGGGGGGGGGGGGGGGGGGGGGGGGGGGGGGGGGGGGGGGGGGGGGGGGGGGGGGGGGGGGGGGGGGGGGGGGGGGGGGGGGGGGGGGGGGGGGGGGGGGGGGGGGGGGGGGGGGGGGAGGAAGGGGAGGGGGGGGGGGGGGGGGGGGGGGGGGGGGGGGGGGGGGGGGGGGGGGGGGGGGGGGGGGGGGGGGGGGGGGGGGGGGGGGGGGGGGCGGCGCCCGCCGCGCCCCCCCCCGGGGGGGGGGGGGGGGGGGGGGGGGGGGGGGGGGGGGGGGGGGGGGGGGGGGGGGGGCCCCCCCCCCGGCCCCCCCCGCGGGCGGGGGGGGGGGGGGGGGGGGGGGGGGGGGGGGGGGGGGGGGGGGGGGGGGGGGGGGGGGGGGGGGGGGGGGGGGGGGGGGGGGGGGGGGGGGGGGGGGGGGGGGGGGGGGGGGGGGGGGGGGGGCGGGGGGGCGGGGGGGGGGGGGGGGGGGGGGGGGGGGGGGGGGGGGGGGGGGGGGGGGAAAAAGAAAAAAAAAAAAAAAAAAAAAAAAAAAAAAAAAAAAAAAAAAAGAAAAAAAAAAAAAAGGGGGGGGGCGGGGGGGGGGGCGCGCGCGCCGGCGCCCCCTCCCGTGTGGGGGAAAACCCCCCCCCCAAAAAAAACCCCCCGCGGGGGGGGGGGGGGGGGGGGGGGGGGGGGGGGGGGGGGGGGGAAGAAAAAAGGGGGGGAAAAAAAAAAAAAAAAAAAAAAAAAAAAAAAAAAAAAAAAAAAAAGGGAGAAAAAAAAAAAAAAGAAAAAAACAAAAAAAAAAACAAAAAAAAAAACAAAAAAAAAAAAAAAAAAAAAAAAAAGGGGAAAAAAAAAAAAAGGGGGGGAGGGGGGGGGGGGGGGGGGGGGGGGAAAAAAAGGGGGAAGGGGGGGAAGGGAAAAAAAAAAGGGGGGGGGGGGGGGGGGGGGAGAGAGGGGGGGGGGAAAAAAAAAAAAAAAAAAAAGGGGGGGGGGGAAAAAAAAAAAAAAAAAAAAAAAAAAAAAAAAAAAAAAAAAAAAAAAAAAGGGGGGGGGGGGGGGGTGGGGGGGAAAAAAAAAAAAAAAAAAACAAAAAAAAAAAAAAAAATTTAATTTTTTTTTTGAAAGGGGGGGGGGGGGGCCCCTGGGGAGAAAAACCCATGACGGGGCGGCGGGGTTGGGCCCCCCTTTATAAAAGGGTGCGTGTACTTATGTACGCGCGTAAGAAGTTATACTTCTTTGGCATTATTTATAATAAATACGGATAGTTAACCTTAATTGTATTGAAGCACTTAGGAAGGTTGATGAGCACAGTTTTTTCACAATCATTTTCTTATATTAATTAGTATTGATTTAAATATTCAATTTAAATCACTTCTGATAAATCAGACACTCTTCTTATATTTCAGACGCCCAACATGCGCCACTAGCCGAGGTTCCATTTCTGTTTTGTTGGTAGCATTTTTTCCTAAACTTAATGAGCGATTTAGTGGGCAACTTCATTCTGTTAATTTTGTGACACGGTGCGCGCGCATCGTAAAATTTCACTCACTGATCAATTTTTCATAACGCGCCTAAAGAAGTATAACTTCAAAAATTTCATAGGTTACATTGACTCCCTTACCAAACCTAAATATTATGTTAGTAAAGAGTACATTATTTAGTGAACTAAGTTTTACTTTATCATTGTTTATTTGTCCATGTTACTTGAAAAAGTCATAAATGTGATCTCTCACACAATTGAAAACAAATGAATGATCCATTGCATGTTTATGACGATTACGCAAAAATAGTAACAACACAAGAATCGAGGCATAAGGCACTTATTATTGATGTCTTTTCAGGTGAAGGTCCCCAATTTCAATGTGGTGGAACTATCATTAACTCCAAATATATTCTGACAGCGGCTCATTGTGTCGTTGATAAGAAAATCGAAGGTGTCAGAATAGGAGAGTACGACATTAACACGGATAGAGACTGCGAATATGAACCGGATAAAGTTATCTGTGAAGATCATATTCAGGTAAAAGCCATGCTACTTCAAAAGGTTTATAAGTTTGCCACTTGCTTCTTGTTATGTTGTAGTTTGTGCGTGAAAAAATTCAATGCCAACATTTACTTCCTTTCATTGGAAATGACTACTCTATAGTTTGACTTGTTGATAATTATAACGCTCAACACCCAGTATCAGTTACTAAATTCAGTTCTGGATAAATGCACCATTTAAATCTTAATTAAAGTAACAATGTTCTTGTTTGGTACGCATCAAGCATTGTTGTTGTTATTTATTATATTTATTTTAGGATATGTATGTCAAAGAAAAAATACCACATGAAAATTACCAAAGATCACCAACCTCGAATGACATCGCGTTGTTGCGAGTAGACGGCGAGATCCTCTTAAACTACAGTAAGTTTACAAAATTTGTAATAAGTATTTTAGCCCACAAAAAGATTATTTAGTAGCAGTCACATCAAAAACAAACACACAAACGTGTCTTCCTTCAATGAATATATACATTTGATTGAATAACAATATATCATACGAAAAAGGGATGGGATAATATGTTTTTTACAATTAATCCTTCTTATAATATTACAGCAAACGTGGAACCGATCTGTCTACCACTATCATCTTCACTACGTAGCAAAAGTCTAGATAACAAAAACGGCACAGTAGCGGGATGGGGTTACACTGAAACTGGTAGAGAATCTGCAATACTGTTGAGAGTCGAAGTTCCTGTGAAAACTGACGCTGAATGTAAAGGCTACTACAACAGAAATATCAGGGATGCCGTTAAGAAACAATTTTGCGCAGGAGAACTAAAAAAGGATTCTTGTAATGGTGATTCCGGAGGACCTCTAATGATGAAAGCAAACTACAATGATGTTAATAGTTACGTCCAGTATGGGATCGTGTCGCACGGTCCAATGCAATGTGGATCGTCGTTCCCAGGCGTCTACACAGATGTCAGAGAATACGTCGATTGGATATTAGACAATATTAAAGAATAATTTAATTAGCGTAATGGAATAAAATTTTATATCAATTGTAATAAATAGCAAAGTAATAGTGGTTGTTTTGATGTAAAACGGTAAGGCCTACAACGCACTAGCGGCTGGCCGCGATGCGGTGTGCCGCTGCGGTAGGCCGCACATCGATTATTACATGAAACCGCACGATAACGACGCACTGATTTGCGGACAACCGTCAACCGCTCCGGTAGTTCTGGAGCTGCGACGAGCCGCACCGGTTGAATGATGCGGTGCGCCGCGTCCCCTCCATGCACTCGGCGCGGTTAGCCGCAAATACCGCGTCCTACCCGCCTTAGTCATCGCTTGTTCCTTGCGCTAGACACTACGCAGAGGTTTTTTGCCGATATTTTCTACGATGATATAAATAAATAACTGCCGCAACTTCTTCAACGTCCATCATGTGCAATATTTCAAGAAGCACTGACGAGTGACGATTGCGGCAGACCGCAATAGGACCGCAATAGGGACGGTTAGCCGGAATACGGCATGCCGCTACGGCAGACCGTATATACCACGGCCTACCGCAGCGGCACACCGCATCACGGCTAGCCGCTAGTGCGTTGTAGGCCTAACTGTTATATAGCTCTTAGCGGTCATGTTAAAAAATATTGTATTTTTAACGATGTATTTTAATAAAGTAAGAGCCTTAAAATTATACTCATATAAACATTTGAAAGGTGATCTGTATATTTTATGTTTGTTATGTGAAAAAAAATCATTGAATTATCAAAGTATAATTTCAATACAGTGTTACATAATGTTGAACATAATCGTGTTTTTTCACGCCTTGCGGGAGGTTCTAACTTGTAAAGTTCTTTAAGTATGAGCAAGACAAATATACATATTTGCATCCTACTTAAAGCTGAATTCAACGACATTAAAAAGGAAATTAGAGATGGATTAGGTCCCTAACGCACAGTACTGTAATTGTTTTAATTCCTTGCGTTAGGAGATATGTCGGTACAAGTGAAATCGTACGCCTCGTAAACGCAAGAGAGGGAGGATGGGCGGCGCGGGCGCTGCGTGACTCTTTTTAGTGTTGTCCTAGAATCGACATGGGAGGTCGCGGGCACGTTTTGGAAATAACACTCTGCTTTTAAAAGAAAAAAGTGTAAAAAATCTATTTATTTAGGTGAGGTTTCTAACAAAAATCAACGCCGGATTATACGTCCAGTAAAATATTTTTTTTGGAAAATGTTCAAGTTTGCCCCCCATTGGCTACAAAGAAAACTATGAACCTTTTTCGTTGGAGTACACGCAGTTAAACAGCACTGACGCTTCTAAAAAAACTAAATGAATTGTTACCATTTGCGCGTAATGTGCATGCAATCAATGTGCTTACCATATTTTAATGAAAAACACTTTGCATAATTAATAAAACTTTTAGAATCGATAACTGAAATATTATTTTATTCCCATCACTACTTACTACACATATTGAACTATCTTCGGTTGCGGTACGAGATATTACAATCGATATCTATTTTTTTTTTTGGTTTTTGTAGTTTATTCAAATGTCGTAACTGCGTGCGAATCTAGCAAAATATAAAGCAATTAAAGCAAGCTATCTTTCATCAACAAAAACTTCAAAATATATGTCATTATTTATGTGGAAGATATACTGCTCAAAACAATTAGCGGAACAAGATTTTTCTCCTTTCTATTGCTTAAACTAAAATTAGATTTAAATTAACTTGTACGCTATTTTTTACCTTGTTAATTTGTTAATTACTACAATTAATAAAAAAATTCAATTTGTATTTTTTTTATTAAAAAAAATTAAAATGTGCATTGTAGACGAAAAACTAATTGGTGATAAAAAAGGTCCATCAAAGAAATATTCTTATATCGTTTGAATATTCGTCTTTAGTGACTTTCAGTAACGTGTGTGGCCTCCGTGAGCCCTAATCACGGCTTGACAACGACGCGGCATGCTTCGTATGATCCTCCGAATATCTTCTTGTGGAATTCGCTCCCATTCTTCAATCAACGCTTCAGTGAGCTGCTGCAGTGTTTGAGGTGCAATCGGACGCTTCCGGATGCGCCTGTCAAGCAATTCCCAAATGTGTTCAATTGGATTTAGGTCAGGGCTCATGGAAGGCCACTCCATTACACGGATTTCCTGCTGTCGTAAGTAATCTGACGTGATGACTGCAGTATGCAGCCTGGCATTATCTTGCATTAAAAGAAAATCTGGGCCCATACCATATGCTGCGGGCCAAACATGATCTTCGAGCACATTTTCAATGTAAGTTTGAGCACACAAGCGCCCGAGAACAACGACGAGATCTGTGCGCTCGTCCAAACTAACTCCGCCCCCCAAACCATCACAGAGCCACATCCAAATTTGTCATATTCCTGGACTGCTGCTGCACTGTATCGCTCGCCTGGGCGTCTGTAAACACGGAGACGACCTTCGCAACGTGTTAGACGGAATCGTTATTCGTCAGTAAAAAGCACAGCCTCCAATGTCGAAGTTGCCAATTAGCGTGATTTTGCGCGAACTGTCGGCGAGCTTGTCTATGTTGAACTGTTAGACGCACAGCCCGAACTGGTCGGCGTGATCTCAAATTGGCTTCCAACAACCTATTTCTTACCGTCTAGTCGGAAATTTCTACACCAGTAGCCGTCCTTAGTGTATTTTGTAGATCTCTTGCAGTTGTGGTGCGGTTACGTAAAGCACAGTTGACGATGTAGCGATCTTGCAAACGTGTAGTTTTTCTCTTTCGACCTTGACCACGCCTTCGTGAGTATTCTCCCGTCTCACGGTATCGCTTCCAAAGTCTGTAGATAACAGAAGGGGCTACTCATAGATCATTTCCTACATAACGCATAGTTCGACCCTCTTCAAGCAAAGCGATAGCTCGGGAGACATGCAATTCAGTCAGATCTGGCATTATGACCTAAACTCACTCGCTTCAATGAATAACAATACTCAAAAGACTCACTTCAATTTCTATTAATACTCAAAAGATTGAAAAAAACTACTTAAAATGTGTTTTCTGTGATTAGAAAGTAATGAAAATTCAAAGACGTCACTTTGTTTTTAGGTGTTTCTAGACACACTGCCACTTTATTATAGGACTACTAACCAAAACGCCGATGTTCTTTTGTTTTTTATTTTCTTCGACAATGCCTTAACATTATCTAGTGGCTAGTAATAATTAAAACCTTAAGTAAAAAGTTTAGTTCTACTTTAAAGTTTTGTTCCCGTAATTGTTTTGAGCAGTATATAAATTATTTTCAAAAGTGTATTTTTAGGAGACTGATTAGGTCTCAAACGCACCAAAGGATAGGCTTGTTACGAGATCTTTTAGGTCTCCAAAGCACCAGCTGAAAGTTCTTTAAAAATGATCGCGCAGTGAACGTGTTAATGCAGGAAGGACGTCATGAAATTGTATTAATACTTAAATATAAAATCACAAATAAAAATATCAATTAAAGATTATTCGAAAAAATGGTTGTTTACTTGCTGGCCCATAGTATGAGTTGCAGATATAATGCGAAAACAGCAACGTGGTTTATATGTATAAATTGTAAATAGGTATAGTAATTAATAAGTAAGCAATAAAAAAGCTATGAAAATGCATTATGCCTTATTAATAAAAGGATTTTTTGTCTTCTTTTTCCAAACCACATAGAACTGCTCTAGCTAGTCTGATACAAGAAGAGATTCGAAAATGACTTCCCCCGGCTATCGAACTATCATAAATAAATGAATAAAAAACACTCTGGTTTTCTTCACGACAAAAGCAACACTTATCTGATAAAATCATATTTATAATTAATTGGGATTTCAAAAAATATCTGATAAGGTTCAACATTTGCAATGTTAACAAATGTTAGCAGCATTCATTTTCATTTCAGCAGTCATTTTATGATTTGGCATTAAAGGAAAAGGTGAAGGTGGGAGCTTGTAGTTTATTGTTTATCAGAATCCGAAATCATAAAATGACTGTTTCACGACTGATTTAAGAGCGACCGCCGATGCGAAAACCGCTGTGTGAGTTCGAAAAGTGAGTTACAGAATCGCAAGGCTGAATAACATTTTAACAAGCAAAATGACCGCATTTATGCTCTAAGGAAGCTTCCCAATTAGTCGACAGAGTGCAACGTGGGCACTATCCAACTTGCGGAGTGGCTTTTTATTGATGTTCATATGAAATATATGTGATATGTTGACATCTGAGGTCGTGCTTACTACTAGGCTCTTATAGTAAAGGTAGACATCTTCAGGAAACCGGCTTGTCTTAGATTAGAAATGTATGCAATATGAAACAGAGACGCCACTGGATTATTAATATGATTTCAATGTAAAAAATATAGGAATTTCTAAAACATATCATCATTAAATACATTGCATAATCTATTTTTGTGATAGTGCCATTTCATTTTTATTTCTTAACAAGTTACGAACTCGTACAATTATTAATATTTAAGGTGAAATTACATTTTTTTTTTGTTTATTGGTAGTTTATTGGATATCTAAGAAAAAGCAATCCTTTATATCTTAGGTCCATTTACAAAGTTTAATAGATCAAAATAATAGAAAATAAATGAATACAGATACGTCACTGGTCACAATTGAAAAAATAAATACACAGACAGAGTACAGATGATTATAATTTGTGTAAATCTTCCGCGTGGGATTCCCCAATGTATATATTATTTAATAAAATTTCACGTCTTAAACAAAATTGTAAGGGGTATTAATTGCCTCTAAGATAACGTAAAATGGTAAAACCGTGATTATGGGCACCTCCCACTAGCAATAGCGATTGCGATATTGATCGACCGATCCGTTGTTGAGGGAACTACTTCTAAATTGCACACAAAACACGAGCACGGAGTACGGGCGCAAAGCTGATTTGACGATTAATGTAATTTAAAATTTAACAATTTAAAGACCCAAAAGGATTTAGGGAACTTATTATAATATAGATAATCTTTATATATATAATTCTTCTGTGAGTGTGTAT